GTTGGATCCCTTTTTCGTTGATCTACAAGGTAGGGTAATCGTTTGTCCTGACCTGCTGACAAGTGTTGATTGTTTACTGTTTATCCCTCTATTCTCGTTAACGGTGTTTACGGCAGAAGAGGCCGCAACGGCGGCCTCTCAGCTGAAGTTGCAGCAAGCTCTGTTTATGTGACTGATGTTCCAGGGAGTTTGTCTCGACAAGAGACATTTGAGCTACAGTTACCGAGGGTTGGTGTTCGGCTGCTTCATCCTTGTTAATGCTAGATGTCAGGTCTAGTGGAAGTTGCTTAACCAGACGTTTCGAGTGATGCCTGATTTTCGTTACCATGAGTACTGTTTCCGCCCGGTGTTCTACCAAAGTTAGAGAAGACGACGGAGATGGGGACGTGGCTGATTGTGGTTCAGGGGAGGCGGGTTATGTAGCATTCCATAGTGCGTACTCGCTTCCATTAAAGTAACCTTATCGTTTATTCTCTACTCGGCTTCTGCCGTTGACCGGCCGCACTTCTGAGCTAGGATAAGCAAGCATTTAATGAGTGGGATGGTGGAGCACGTAGCACAGAACCAAAGAGCAGCTTGCGAGCTAGTTCGCTCTCCTACCTGTCGTTAGGACACTTTTACACATTTCGGATGATACCATTCCAAACAGTGCGAGTAAGTTAAATTTATTTTAACTAAGCGATGACGTTCTCCTATCCCGCAAACGACTTTTGCTTGGCGCCTTTTCGAATTCGCGATTCCGCCATTCAACGTGGTGTCATTACCTGACCCAGTGGGTTGGTTAGCGTTCTGGACTTTCCCAGTTTTGAGAGCGGCGTATATCGGTCAGAGGAGCGTGGTGGCTGCAAAGGCAAAGCAGCGGTCGGCGTAGTCGCGCGGTCCGTGTGATGGGTTATGCAGGCGCACTGGCTGATAATGGCACCAGGGATGGCGAGTGACTGGAACCTGTTAACAGAATCTGAACACAGCGCTGAACACAGATTGAGGGATCACAAATTCTTTCACAGCTGCGTTGAGAAACGCCGGATCGGAATATGCTTAGGCTTTTCGGACTGCCTCGTGAAAGCTGTAACGAATGGTGTCACACAGAAAGGCAATCGGCTCAATGTGATTGAGTTATCCGCTTTCGCTTACTCATGAGTGCCAGTGAAAACTCTTAGTGCTGACATGGACTTGAATCGTAGAAGATAATTCCACGTATGATGGATCATTATGTAAGCTGGCAAATCCGCTTCGAATGAGTTTAAAGTGACAACGCGCTTCCTTCCTGATTCGGACTCGTCATCCCGTAATCTTAATACAGATAATTTCAAAGGTTATGGAAGCCATTATTTCTGATGCGCTAACGGCTCACTTGGAAGAAATTGTCTATGTTGCACCAGAACAGCATGGCTTCCGACAGAATCGATCATGCACTACAAATCTACTACTAGCAACATCCAGCTAGACCAATACAGCAGACTCTGGCACAGGAGTTGATGTAGTCTGTCTCGACTTCCCAAAGCGTTCGACCAGTTATACATCCCGACATTCTACTCTACAAACGCGACCTTTAGTATTAGTGATGTTCTCCTGGGGTGGATCAGAAGCTTTCTTGGAAGTACGAGTGCGCAAATCCCTGACAGATCTCATCGCAGTTGAGTGTAGAGTATCAAAGGGATCGGTACTAGGACCGCGGTTATTTTTGACGTATATAAACGATATCACATGTCTCATAAATTCAAACTGCCTGCTTTATGCCGATGACCTCAAAGTGTGGTGGGCGATCAAAACATCAGGTGATATCACAGTACTAAGAGCCTAGCTGGATAAGGTATACGCGAGGTCAATCCAGAATTTCCTTCGATTCAATGTGGTCGAATGTAGAGTGCTGCACATACGGAACCAAGTGGTGTGCTCCTACAAACCAAGCAACCAAGAGGTTCACATGTCTTTTGGTGAAAAGGATCTGGGAGTTTTGGGCCAGGATGACCTTGGATGTCCGAGTCAGATTGAAACCAAGTCAGGGAGGTGTATCCAACAAGCGGGGCCTCCTGAAGTGTGCATTTCGACGATTCGACCCTTCGATTTTTCCACAGCGTCTCGACTCATACATAGGTCCACATGTGGACTACGCAATACCTGTCTGGCAGCCATGGTTGAAGAGTGACCTCACCGCCTTGGAGATATCCCAACACCGGGTCACCAAGAATGTCAAAGGTTTGCATAATTTGCCGTAAGAGCAAAGGCTTCCAGTGATCGTAGTCTTCAGCAGATAATATCGGAGGCTGCGCGGGGACCAAGTTTTGACTTACCAGATTTTGAAAGATCCCAACCACATATGTTGCCATTGGCTAAAGCTCAGTCACGACAGTAAACTGAGAGGCCACTATCTCAAACTGGCAGATCAGTACAGTCATTTGGAATGCCGCCGCAATTTCGTCTCCATATGTGCTTGCAGAGCCTGGAATGCAGTACCGGAATCTGTCATTCGTGCTCCGACGCTCGTAAAGTTCAAAGTCCGAGCTGACGGTGCACTCATTTCGCTGCACCATCTCACACGACTCATTACTTAAGGATAAACACAAGGGTTGGGTCAAATCCCAAAATACGTTCAATCTTCGCTCAACTTCCTTATGTGTTCACCAGTATGCGATACGATTTGTTACAAACGTCGCATTTGTCGTCATTCCTTATGGATGTACAGTTTGTACAACGTACACTGCAGTGAGTGCACCTGTGTAAGCCTAAATTTGCTGACAATTTTTTCTATATTTTGAACTTTCACTATGACCATCCTACGGGACCTGTTAAGCTGTAGCTTTTTCACCCATATAAAATCATTGTTCCATCTTGCTGACTTCAGGATTCACACATACCAACTTAAATCAAGCAATCGGGCCAAATAAGTTGCTTTTACTCTGTGAGCACAATCCGCTTGAGGCGAGCACATTCACTTAAACGTAGTGAAGTTAAAGCTATGAAACTAACAGAGCTCCTCCTACCACAGTTCATCCAAAATGGCATAGAAGAACGATACGCTACAACTATATGGAAGCATGGTATCATCACACCAATCTTTAAACGCGACATGCGTTCTGACCCTGCAAACTATCTCCCGGTGTTTGTTCTCTCTGTGCTCTCGAAAATGATGGCATCGGTCGTCGCTGAGACTTTAGTGAACTACTTGGATAAACGCAAATTCTTAGCACCGGAGTAGCAGGGTTTCCGTCAACAGTTGTCATGCACCAACAACCTGTTGGTAGCATGAAGTAGCTGTATGTTAGTTTTTGTGAGTGGGGTGAGAATTAACGCAATCTAACTGGATTTTGCTAAAGCTGTTAACCGTTTGGATCATCACATCCTGCTTCACAAGTTGCATACATATGGAATCTGGAATACTGTTTTGTGGTGAACCCGCTACTTCCTTCGCCAGAGCAGGCCGCAAGTGTTTGTTCAGGGATCCTTTTTTCAAATCAACTGAAACAGAACTGGGTGTTCTACAGGGCCACGCTTATTCCTAGTATGCATCAATGATTTTACGAGCGTTACTGCCTCGAACTGCCTGCTTTTCGTTCACGATATCAGTAAATGTCCAACGAATATGGAAATTCATAAGATACTTTCTTCCATCGTGGCTCGAGTGATGTTTATGAACGACCTAAGGGAAATATAATCTATTTTGACTTGGCTACATGCAAGATAGCTGGTATGCGTTATCAGCCAGCGGGTGTACATAAATTGGAAGCTACACCTTGAAGAATGTCTCTCAAGAGCATGATTTCGGTATGGTGGTTCCGAATAAACTCAGCTGCATGAGTTAATCCGGGATGGCTTCGAACACCATCCACCAATATATCAGCAATACGCAAAGAACGTTTGTTCGATTTCGTCCTTCCTTCACACTGCAACTTTGTAACTCCTAAGTGCGACGCTACGTGGAGTAGGCCATCCAGCCATGACACCCCTAGCAGAAACACGGTTTAACTGTGCTGGAGACTCCACAACAGATAACACATAGAAACGTTAAGGGGATCATCCGCCTACCATACAAACTTATACTAAAATCCCTCGTAATACATGGTGACTGATATTGGCTTCTTTTAGGACCCTCCACGATGATTTAGCAAGTTCGGGAGATCTCCAACCATAGTTGTTTCCGTTCCTGTAGCTCAGAAATAAGCATTAATCGAAGAGACTGTCAAGAAGCTTTGGCCAAGCAACATATCCGGTTGTAATACGTCGAATTATCTTCTTCCTTCGAGTGTACCTACCATGGGGCGCACTCCCCGCGTGAGTTGTTTCTACTCACGATTTTAGAAATGAATTGATGATGCATTGCACCAAACACACTTCTGTACCTAACTTGTGTCCGTCAGGCGTATTCTCAGATCCGAACCGGGCAGACTTACGGCTGTTTCCACCATAAGATCTGTGACTTCACCAGCCTACACTTAAATTCACTGACACACTTCGCGGAGTTCACTGTTTTTATCTCGACCGTTCTACGGAACCAGTTAAGCATTAGGTGTTTCCATCATGCCATCAATCCATTGCACCAAAGAGTTTCATGCTTACAAATTCAGCGAGCAGAATGTGCATCTCTATCAACGAATATTTCTTCTCACGGTCAGCAGCAGTCGTTCCCTATTGCTTTGAATAAATCGGACTTCTCGAAATTATATACCAAGCTAGCAATAGCTACTAATTTTAACTAACACCTGATCCATAATTGTGCATAGCTGATGAGATTCATAGGAGAAGTTATCTTCGCAAACTGCCAGTCAGCGCTTCATACTTATTAGTTCGGCCCTTAAAGGAGTTGGCTTAACAACTCCTGTTGCCTGTCCGAATGGTCATAATAGATTTAGCAGGTATAGTTCGCACACAAACGGTTATTTGGGAAAATAATCGAGGGATTTTGAACCCAATTAAAGTGCTCCACCGATTGTGGGACACGACAAAGAAAACCGGTTGTTTTCCTGATATCAATTCAGAAGTAGAACGAACCGAGAGTTCACCTTTTCATCTTGAGTTTTGAACATTCCATGCAGGTCATTCATATCGTGTTTGCGTTGCTCGGAAAATGACAGGACGTCATCTTTTAACCGGGTGATCTTCTGCGAAAGATCGGAGATTGCATGATCCTCTTGCGTGATTCGATTTCTGGATCAAGTGATAAGGAAAGTGATTCAGTACACACTAGTCAAAACGATACAGCTTACAGTACAGAAGTAGAAAATTGCAGAATATTCGGGAGAAAGAGTAGAAACTTATGTCAACAAAACAAGTGTAGGAAGTTGTATCCTATTACGAGCTTCCTAAGTTTGCAAAACGCACAATAATTATTAGAATTTATGGGCTACAAAACGTAGACATAAGAATACAGTAGAACCCGCTTTATTGCCCACCAGCGAGGTATTTCAAAAGTGGGCAATAAGGCGGTGTGAGCAATCGACCGATAGTGTCAATTTTTCCAAAAAGGGAAGCAAGCAGTGAACTGGAACATGCTAAGAGGGATAAAATGCGTACTAGTAAATATAGCCTATAAAAGACGATTCAGAAGTGTATAACCTATAATTTAAAAATTATAACAAAAAGCATCTTACCTGAATAGTTATAAAAACTGGCGCTACTGTATATTTTTGTCGAGAAAACAATCCAACGTTTGTTGTACATTTTTTGAGCTGCTACGCCAGCCACTTTTGCACTGATGAAGTCCAATTTGGACAAGAAATCGTTGACTAGCCCATGCAAAAGTCCGTAGCTATACAGAGATCATTCACAAAGTTCTTCGCCCTTGAATGCGACACGCGCCAATTGCTGTTACTCACGGAGGCTTCCGGTATGTCATCCTTTGAGTCTTTGCCTTCTTTCTGTTCTAGTCTGTTCTCTAAAATTTTACTGACGATTTCACCACAACAGTTGTCAGATCTGAGGTGCAGTCCACATCGTTGTCAATGGCGACGAACTGTTCTGTATTGACTGGGATTATGCAGGCGCTAATTTTGTTCTCAGCCATGAAGGCATCATCGGAAAGTGCATCGGATACCAGTCGACTGAAGCCAGCATGCCGAAAGCATGCTTTTATTGTTGTAGCGGTAACCAGCCTCCAACTTTTTGAGACGAACTGAACTGCGTCGTGCACAGAAACCTTGGCGCTGACATCCACGGCTGACGATGAGCCAGAGAACAAGTTGTTTTCGATGTGATGAAATATACAGTCTATAATTTCTTTTCTGTAACGAATTTTCTAATTCATAATCACATATGGCTCATGGATTGAAGTATGCTGGTCGTGTTTACTGGCAAAATTCCATTTAAATGTTTTTCAGGTCTTCTACCTGTGGGTGTGTTGTGTAATTATCCAAAAGTAACATAATTTTTCGACCACTTTGGTCTAGCTCCTTGTCCCATTCGAGGACCCAATCGGTGATGAGTTCTTTCGTTATCCACGCACTTTTATTAGATCTGTAAGTTACGGGAAGTATGTCCGTGTTCACGCTATTAAAATATTGTGGTTAATATTTTCAATCAAAACCAGTTTTCTTTTATCCGTGCCTGAAATATTCGCACAGCACAAGAGAATGATCCTACCCATGGCCTTTTTCAATCCGCTGAGCCTATCGGCAGAAAAAAATACAGAGCCCTCTGGAGGTGCTCGGTAAAAAAGACCTGTTTCGTCGGTATTGTAAGTGTTGTCATCAGCAAATGCATTTAAAAATTCAGGCAGTCGATCTTTCAGCAAATTTTCACAGACTGCTCTGTCCGCGGAACTCTTCCTCATGCGCATGTTTATACACAATTTGACTTTTATTCTTCCATCTTTGCAACCACCCTTCTGCCACAGCGAAGGTTTTTCCAACTCTTTACCTGAATCGGTCTGTCTTTTTTGGTTGTGCTCACTAACCGATATCATCCAGTGCTTCAAAGCAGTTTCAACTTCGTCCTTTAAACATCGCTTTATTTGCTGAAAGCTTGTAGTGCCATGCGACAAATTCTGTCGGAGTTCCTTTTCGCTGACACTTAACCTGACTGTGGTACGACGAGAAATGTGTACCTCAGGCGAAAATTAGGCCTGCGAGGTTCCTGGTGAATAAATTTTAATTTTGTCCAAAAGGTCCATTTTTTGGCAAGGACAAATCCTTTCTGTTACTTGCCATATTTGTGTGTAACCAACAGAGTACTGACAAATGTGCAACAGAAAGACTACCAGGATATGCTGTTCTCGAGGGTTTGCGAACAGCCCTCCGTACATTTAGCTTGTTTGTGTGTTGAATGACGTAGGTAATGTTTTTTGATCTATCAATAACGCCGTCGACCTCTTTATTGTTCATGATTCAATCGGATTGGCTAGGTGTGGGGTAATCGTAATAAAAGATAGTCTGAGCGAGGGCGTAAAATTGACCAAGCGACAAGAGCACAATCTACGCAGCTGAGCACTTAAGCGATGGGATGACCCCGGCAATGGGCAATTAGACGGCGGAAATTTAGCATATTTATGAGGAAAGAATTTGTATCTTGAAAAACTGGGCAATAAAGCGGGTCTGACTATAATAAGATTAATGTCCGTAATACTGTGAATGGCAGGTGGAGCCTTTATCCCTGTGTTATATACGCGGTTGATAGGGGCTAGAGCCGTTAGAACAGTTTTCACCGCACGGAGCAGTGCATTGATCTAACATCAAGACAAAAGAAACAATCAAGACAGATGACAACACAGAGCAAGGTGGGATAGTTTGTCAGACAGGTCTTGTCACTCGATCGGCGACGTCATGTACACGGACCTTGACAAAACAGTGGGGGGGGATTGAAACTCACGGCCAACGCAGCGCGACGTCGTTGTACTTTTGGGCATCGGATCGCAGAGCCTAATCCACAACACTGCCATGAGAACCGCCACCACTATCACCACCGTATACCAAATGATCCCCGCAAATGCCTTATGCATCTTTTATTTCGTCGTCTTCCCAAGCATCATAGTTGGACTATCAGAGACGAATAGGCCCTATTTTCATGTGTTGAGCTAACAAACACAATGTCAGTCGGAAAGATTTAGTTCTGGTATAAACTAGTCAGTTGGATTCAAAGCATGATAATCCGAAGTAAGCGGTTAGGATGAGCGGACCATCTGCTGTTATTAGATAGTCGGATAACTGGATGAGGCTGCTGAGACGGAACTTTCATAATCAGTATGAAAGTGATCTTCAAAGTGATCTACTCATTGCCTGAGCGTTACTCACGACATTTTCATAGTCGCCTATGTAGTAAGTCTCATGTGAGCCGTGCACCCAAACAGATCAATCTCATTTACTTACCAACAGATTTTTAAAGTTCACTTATTAACCGTTATAGGATCCAGTGGGATTTGAGATGTGTAAAATCTCGTTCAGCATTGCATTAGCCTTAGCCATGTTTGGAGCATTAGACCTCCAAGTCTGGAGTTATACAAATCTTGCGTAATAAGTTAGCCGTAACGAACACGTTAGCTGTTAGCCACCATCCAAATAGACTCTGTGGCATTCGCATCTTTTCTGAACCGCACCATTTTACTGTTTGGTGAGTGCTGTCACTCATTTCCCCGCAATGTATTGCCCGTATTTTTATTGTGGCCTTCGTTGCCACACTCATTCCGTGCTGATGCTCGACAAACTGTCCATGTTCGAGATTGTGTCAGCCAAGACAGCAGTCTTCTTGATGCATTTGAGTGTAACTGCGTCGGCCACTTAGTAGTTCGCAACTTCAGCGTAGAAAAGTGCAGAATGTTTTTTATGCATTCACCAAAGCAAAAAGCTACCAATAATCAGCAGCAACGTTTTAGACAATCAAACATGTGTTATTTTGTCCATTTATGAGGAAAGGAAAATGAGATACCATTTTTCAATTACGCATAGCTATTAAAACTTATCTAAATAAGCCATGCTAAATTTCAGCACTCTAAACCTCTATATGAAAGGAAGCTGGCGAAAGGAAGTTACCTTCGCGAGAAAAAACAGGATATTATCCGTGAAAACAAGAAGCTTCGTGAAAGGAATCAGTTTGATTGCCAACAACCTCCAGGGAAATCGCAGAAAAGCTCTCTATTCCTTCGGAAAAATCAGCAACAAGCGATACAAAGTGGTTATATGAGTTCGAACTACGCGTTTGCCCCTGTTGTCGGTCGATGGGAACTAGTTGAAGTTGTCAGGATGAAGCATCGCATTTTCTTGTGCCCCACACACGCAATGAAAGGGCTACATATAATTATACTGATTATTTCTCAAAAATTCCCCACTAAAACATAGAGTGAAAAATAATAAGCAATATGTGCTGTCCTTGACTAGGTGTGCCCCAAATAGGATAGAAAATACGCCGGCATTTCGACGGGTCGGGTCGGGTCTGTCCCAACAGTATCCTTGTCTTAATTGAAGCTTTGCAATAGCAGTTCTTATTGTGTACTGGAGGAACGCAAGTATCCGCCCAATACAGTATAGCACAAGTGTTTGATGTGTTTTGTGTAAGCTATGGAACGAGGTGAATTTAATCACAGTTATGCAAATAAGTTCCTAACGATGGAGGGATTTTTAGAAATAACATTATTGTAGGAGATATTCCACCTCCCACTTATTCAAACCTGCTACACATTCCTGGTTCAGGTTTACCTGATATCGGCTAAACTAGAAACGTGATGGTTTTCCAGATTCCGCAGAGTGACAGCTGCTGCATTCACTGTCTTCCACTTGTCCCTCACATTTTCTTCAAATGCCTGCATGAAAGATTGAGATAAACCGGATTAGCTTAATGAAGCAACCTTGCATATACGTAGAACACGTAATAGACGATACAGGAGAACCGTCAAATGGAAAGGGTACCATTACCGTCGGTGGTAAAAGTGGGGAGTTGAATGCTGTGGCTCGATTGCTAATCTAGAAGTGGTTCGCAGTACTGTGGTGCCATTGCTTCTCACACACAAAATGCTCTGCGATTTGGTCGGACAAGACAGCTATATCGATGCCATTGTGACTTTACTTTAGGCGCTATAGAAATTATGCTTGATTTAGTGAGACAGCATTCACGATGCAAAACGCATGTGCGCGTTGCCCCAAAAAACACAAGTAAAACGAGCAATTATGTGAACTGGCATGATCGAAACCTCCGTCGGTGTTGGGCAAGAAACCATTTGATGACTCACTAATGTGTTTGTTAAGCCACAAACGATTAACTTGGCCAGGTCAAGTCCGTTGGCTGGCTTCTTCGATGTGCATTGTATCACGTCGCTGCATTATGCTAGGTGAACGCGCTAGGTAACCGGTGAGCGACGTAGCATGAACGCATGAAGACATCGACCGAAAGGTTTGGTAAGGCTGATGTGTGGAACCTTCATGGTTGGCCGCCCCAGGATGGTCCACGCCAAGGCTTGCAGACCCTATCAGACCTGGCATATATGCGCAGTCAGCGGCGCTCCTGCTTTCAATCTTCTGCATCTAGTTGCTAATATTAAATTCCCAATGGATTGGTGTCCTTCTACAGCAGCTCTCTTTACTTTATATTCTACTTACGTTTGCCTCGTTTTCTCCTAATTGTTAGTTATGGTTATCCTGTCGACATGAGTCGTGGCAAATGGATCAACCGCACTAGGGTGCTCGGATCACAGTTGTTTAACGGTCGCAACGTCCAATGAAAAGGTTTGCAAATCCCTTGACGGTACAAAGCAAGGGCCAGCGCTGATGAGTGACCGATCTGGTACAGAGTATGGACAATGTTGAACTCCAAAAGAAATGGCTAGTTGCATTTGGACTTTGAGCATATGTACAGGTAAAAGATAGGTGTTGTTTACGTCTAAATCTGAACTGCGCGTTTGGTTGCATGATGGTTTGTAATCTCCGGGTAAATGTATTTGCATCAGTCTATAAACAGACAATGAACCATCGAAAAACCACGAGGAACAACAGAAAAGTACAATTGTCAGCAACTGGAAACAAATATTTGGGCTTTTTGTTTTCTTGTTTGTTTTTACAGGCCATTTTGTCCTTTTTTTGGCACTTTGAATGATAAAGCTCTAAGCACATTGTTCAAAACATTTCAATATACAGTCCTTCCATTGATTCCGGTTTCGCGCCATATCGCCAAGTGTTGAGCTATTGGCAGTCCTCATCCTTGGACTACCCAAGCAGGAAGACGTACAGGGCCGACGATGGCGAGATGGGAGGTTAGTGATTTCATGATTTGCCGCCAAGTGCTTGACTGACCTCCACGCGATCCCTTCCAATTCAATCCCATGCGAGCAAATAAGGCATGCCGTGTTAAGCGCGCGCGTGGCATGCCTAGGACGTGTCCAAGCCACCTCAATTGACGCACTGCAACAAGGCAAGTAAATGGAAGGCTTATGTCTCCCAAGACGCGACACCGGATTTCATCATTGCGAACCCGGTGTTGCCACTACATACGGGCTATCCGCCGCAAACACGTGTTGTCGAAGGCCAAAAGCCTACGCATGTCATCCACACGAACCGGTCAGGACTCACTTCCGTACAACAGAACCGCATGGACACAAGCGTTGTAGACCCTCCCCATTAAGGAGAGGGAGATGTTCCAACGACACCACAAATGACTCAGGTTGGTAAATGCCGACCGGACAGGGATGGCCGGAATGTTGTAGCGACCTGGAGATTTCCGTGTGCGATCTGTAGAATAGTACAAAATTATAGTTTCGCTTTGTACCCAGAAAAATTAGACAGTTGGTCAGTCGCATGTTGCTAGCATTGTTTATATGGGCACACGTCCGGAACGTGATCCAAATGCTTCCTCCTTCGCTCCAGGAACGATCTTTCCTCTCCTTAGCTAGCTTTTCTTGAGTGTCTTTGAGCTTAGCGAGACTGTAAGTTTCGGTACTAAACTTATATATCGACTACTTTTATTTGTTTTTTTACTTTTTCCATACAGTTGGTTGGTTACGCGGATACAGTGTTGGCCCATCAATCTACCTATACTGTGTTTCGAACTTGGTAAATAGAGATTATATATATATATATATATATATATATTGGAATAGATGTCAGACTATTCAAAATCATAGAATCTGGAACCAAAAAGATGAATAATTAGGAAAAGCGGGAAAATAAAGATATTTGTCTTTTCACACGCCATTGTTCAATTTTTCTTTTTTAAGAGTTATTGTTTTCATACTAGTGAATTCACGCAGATTTTCGTGTATTACTTCCACTGCGTCCTACTTTACATCACTGCCTCCAGTGTTATAAGCTACCCTGGGGTCCACAAACGGGTAGACGTACTGCGCCAGCGATGCATGGGATAGTTGTCAAAGTTTTCATGCTCTGTCCGCAATAGTACTTTTACCTCTTCACAAATTAGGGCTGTGTATCCCAATCTATCCGTATGAAGTGAACTATAATACAAACCAACAATGAATCCCTAGTCGTTGTGACAAATATTGTCGGCAGAGCTCGGCAGCTGCAACCTTCAGGGTTTAGATCAGTGCAAATATTTTTAACTTAAGAGAGCAAACGAGCACGAAGCTCTTGGTGGAGTACGAGTAACACGCAAAAATCCGCCGTCGGGGTCATGAATTATGTAGTGAAGAAGAATACACAAAAAGGCTATGTAAAGGCTATGTAAACAGTTAATCCAAAGTTCGGTGGATTCTACGCGTCCGAAAGTAACCGAGGGCCTTGACAAAAACGCAATCCGAGTCAACAACGATTCCAGTCAGCAAACACCGAGCAACAACGCCGAACAATCACGACGAACGCACGAGCAACGAGCCGAAGCGACAACGAGAAACGGAATTCGAAAAAGGTGTATCGATCTAGATAATTAAACCAAATGAACAATAAATGGTGGAGGAGAAAACAAGAAAAACATTTGCAAATTTCGAGGTTTACAAGCGCTACAGGAGAGAGATTTTGACAGTCGAAATAACCGAGCCTCACTTTGAAGCGAACGTCGGTCCGAAATTGGATTTGGTGTAGTGATCCATCCAAGCAACAGTCATACCAAGACAAACCAACAATGACAAAGGTTGCTTGTTGGTTCAGTTGATAAAAGCAATGGTAATATCTCATGAAATGCACCGAAAACCACTGGTAGTGAATACCAATGCAGCAGACTAATGAATAAAGGTACTGGTGTCGTCATATATATATATATATATATATATATATATATATATATGTCGGGAGAGCCTATGGTGCGCTGAGGCTGGTGGTGGCTAGGTACTGACTGATGGTCTACCTACTGCTGCTACTGTTGTGCCATTGGCTCATGTCCTGCACGCCTCTTCGTGGCGATTGCTATGTGGGAGTTGGGTTATCCCTTTCTCCCTGCTAAGATCCAGGACACAAATCCGCATGCGTCAGTGAACTGGGCATGTGCTAGACCCGCTGCCTTTCAGATGTTCATTTAATCGAAGGCTTTGGCTGAGGACCCGAGTCGTTCTCCTATCAGGTGTCCACGCTCTGCCAGTATCATAGTCCGTCCTCTTCGGAGGTTAGAAAGTGGTCGATGGCCTTCTTCCCGTAAAACCTAGCCACAGGAGACAACAGGTATACGGATTATAAGCTCACAGCTCGATTGGCGTACAGCACGAGCGCCACGAATTGTCTTTGACGGTGGGAGGGCACCTCTGGATGCTCGATGGTTTGCTACCGCCCGCCTCAAGCCAGAAAACCCCTGGTCAAATTAGTGCAAACCCGCCAAAATCCACCTGCGTCTGGCCGTGGTCGCAGGTGCGTATTCTACCACGGTCTAAAAACATAAATGAATCGTTCCAGTACCTCAAAGACTGCGTGTGACGGTCGTCAAGCAGATCCCAATCTGTCTCCGTAATCAAATTCCCGAGCTGGATCTGCTCCCCACTGCCTTGCGGGTCAGGCTATTGAGTCAAAGGTTCCGGGTAGCGTCCCATAAGCAAACCTCCAAATCTCCCACTGCCTTGTGGGTCAGGCTGTCGAGTCAAAAGCTCCGGGCGAGTCCCTCAAGCAAACCTCCAAAGCACAACCACCACCACGCGTGCAATTGCCTACCAATGCAATCGTATGCCTACGCGCAAAGCACTCAACATCGGGTGCTGGAACCTGCGCACACTACTGAAACGAAACTCGAGTGAGCACCCCGAGAAACGCACTGCACTGGTCGCGATGGGACTGGCGCGCTACAACATAGAGATTGCGGCGCTCAGTGAGACTCGGCTCGCTGAGGAAGGTAAGTTGCATGAAGCACGTGCTAGCTACACGTTCTACTGGGTGGGCAACGCCACCTCAGCACTACCTGAACATGGGGTCAGCATTGCAATATCTGATCGCCTAAATGGCCGGCTGGTGGGTGAAACGACAGGCATCAGCGCGCGACCGAGGACTGATCGCCTACGACTCGGAAGAGATAATTTTTCTCATTTATAAGCATGTACGATCCGACGATCTGTTATGCTGATGAGATGCCTGATCAATTCTACACTCAATTATCCTTCGTGATACTGTCTGTGCCGAGGAGCGACTAACTATTGCTGCTGGGTGATCTTAACGCGCGCGTTGCGCGTGATGCATCGGTGCGAAAAGATGTCCTCCGTTCGCATGGCATTGGTTTACCGAATACGAACGGCGACAGGCTGTGCTCACTGTGTGCCAATCAAGGCCTGACGATCACGAACACTCGGTTTGCACTGAGTGCGAGTGATATAGCAACTTGGACGCACCCACGGAGTGGTCACGCTCATCTGCTCGACTATGTCATCGTACGTCAGCGTGATAT